CGGCGGGCGCTCAGGCAGGCGGCAGCTCTGGGCGCGAGTCCTGCCGGGCCTGCCGGGTCCCTCCCCGGACGCTCCGCGGCGGCCGGCTCCAGCTGCGCTCGCTGCTGCGCCCCTGCCCGCGGCGGCTGCCCCCGGGACGGTGCTGGGGTGGACGGTGTGAGGAGCGGACAGCGCCAGGATGGGACAGTGTCCATAGGGGGCCGCTCCGCCCCTGCTGCTGGGGGGGCTGAGCTGGCTGCTGGGTCACCGTGGTGCGAGGAACTGCGCTTAGGACTCCAGGCGGAGTTGAAGGTTCTTGTGAACCTAAGGGATTTTGCTTTTTATGAAGTTGGCTATTCAGTTGCTTAAGCTGGTTTTCTCCACTCAACTTTTGTAAAACCCTGAAATGTGAAACATGGGCAGAGTGTCCTGAAGTCTGTTGCAGGAAATTGCGTGGGACCTAGCTACAGCTGCAGCTGTTTATTCTGTAAGATTTCAAAGGAGCTTAAAGGTCCAGTTTCAGGTTTTGACATCCTGACTTACATGAGCCCTTTTGCTCTTTAGAGTGTCACTGTCCGTAATTTGGACTTGAACAAGAATTGAATACATATGCTCACCTGTGTATTATCAGGAAAAGTTTGGGAAATAAATGCTAGTTTAGGAAGACTTGCAATAATTCACTGTTCACTGTGCTGTGTAACTTGCGCTTTCATTAAAAGAGATGTGACTTCAGACCCTACTCTGCTGCTCAGAGTTGGAATTTGGGGCAGATTGTACTTGTCCTCAGTGCCTACAGGTAAAATGAAAATAATTACAGATATTCGGTAAGATTGCCCCTGTAAAAATACTTTTGACGGAGTTTGGGATGTGATGAGTGCTTATTAAATGAATGCTTCTATCTAAGGTATTTCAAAGGCCCAAGACATTTCTGGACTATATAAACTTAAAGGTGATTTGATGACATCACTATGCCTGAAACTACGAAATCCGGAATGCTTTGTATTTCTGCAACTCCCTGCTCTAATTATTTTAGTGCATTTCAGGACCTTTAATAATTTATTTATTTTTCACTTATTTAGTGTTTTGTAAAAGGGAAGAGGAGACTGGAGAACTGAATCTCTCCTGTAAATGTCAAAAAATAGCCCTGTTTTGCTTTTAGTTTGTAGGGTTAGCTAACATCAGATGAGGATAGATTTTTTTCGTTATTCTAAATACATCTTTTGCCTTCTCATCTTAGCTCCAGTATCTCTGAGTTGATTTTATTGAAAGTTTTTCTTGTTACTAGTGTTAAGAAATTCACATAACTGTAAATGCCCTGTTGCCTTTTATTTAAAAGAACACATAAACGTTCATCCAATAGGAAGATTACATTTACTGAATGTCCGCTGTATATGGAACGCTGTGAATAAAACAGTCACAGTGGGTGCAGAGTTTAGAGGCTACTGGGGGATATTAAATAAACAAAGCAATTAAATAAGCAGAGTAGTCATGCACAGCTGATTACAATGTGATACTGAAGGGAAGAAGTACAGTGAGAGTGAGAATATATAATGGAGCCCAGCTATGATACCACCTTGGCAGCATGGAGGATAAGGAAGCCCTATATTTTTAAAAATTATTTTTCTTTATTTCCTTTATTATCTTCAGGATGGCCATAAAGTCTGGAAACATGGATAATATCTTAGTCTATATTGCAATACAATATCAATAAGCCATTTATTACATATTTGTCAATATTTCAAGACTTGGTGGTCGCCCTTTATTTTAAGACCAGAAAGACTTTTTCTAGGAAGAAACTGAAAACCCAAACACAATGAAGTCAAATTTTGGGTTTTTCTCTCTTAAGAGAGTCTTTTTGCCTGAGAAATGATAATGGATTTTCTTGAACACAGAAATATTCTTTAAACCACGTTAGACTGAGAATCTGAAAGGCATTTTACATTTTCTTTAGGGGGTACCATGGTCTAGTTAAGGGCACCTTACACGTACCTGGGAACATCTTACAGGCCTGAGGCCTGTGTTTTTTGCCTGGCCTTTCTGGTTTAGACTGGCTTGCAAATTTTGAGACACCTCATCAGTTCCTGAGGTTCCTGGGGTTAGTGGCTGGTAATAGTTCTTGGTATTTCTAGAGCCAAGTAACAATCATATGGCAATGAACACTGGACACTTTATTCATTCATGCTTCTCCGGGAAGGGAAGTGATTGTAAATGAACATGCATCTTCCAGGACATTGGGAAATTGGATTTTTGTCCCTGCCCCAGGCCTAGCTGGTTACATTCTTTCAAGAGTTTAATTTTTAAACTTTTCCCAGAAATTCTGGTCTCTAAATTATTGGATATGAAAGGTGGACTTCAAGTGGACTCATTAGTGGGTGGAGAAATCAATGCAGTGGGCAGTTAACCAGCATTGGTTTTTTGACAGAACAGAGTAGCATAGAGTGGAAAATATGAGGACAGGACGTAAAATCGTTTCTCAGAATTTTTGTTTTAGGCTTGTGTGAGTATACACGTGTGTTTATGCACAGTGTAAAGGCTTTTCTTTCTGTAGGTCCTTGTAAAGAACGTTTGACAAGATTGGGGTCACTGGTCCTCTGCCTGCGTGTCCGTGCGTGTCTGACAGACACCAGCCCTGCATAGGCATTGCCTCCGCCGGCAGGTTTTCTCTGAGTCCTGGGGCCTTACAGCATGCTTTACAGTATTGCTTCTGTTTCTTTTCTACAGACTTCTGTGGGACCTATGTATGTCCTGGGTTAAATAAAGGGAGAACTTCCTGGCTTTTTGGTATAGTTTGTTATTAGCTAGCTAAGCTACTACACTGTTTGTTGTTACAAATCTGGGGTGTTTATTTTTATCACTATAAGGGCAGGAAGTATATTTTTTGAAGTGTTTATTGAGATTATGATTTCAGCCACCACTGACATCTGCATTTTTTTTTAATGGTCAGTGTCAAGATCCTAGAATTTGATTGTGGCTGTTGTTTCTTGAATTGGAATTTAAGTTTTTCTGAAGTTTAAACTGAAGAACATAGTTAAAACTTATTCATTTAGATCTTTCCAAGTAACTTTGCATAGAAGTTTTATCAAAACAACCTGTTATGTAGGTGACAGAGTTACTGCTATTTTATGGTGAAAATATAATAATTTTGAACACAAAAAGTGGTGATGTAAATTTAAGAAATTGAACCTGATTTCACAAATGACTGATTGAAACCAGTCTCCTTTCTTTGGAGCAAGCATTTATTTGCTGTCTTACAACAAGGTGATGGAGAGTAACAACCTACCTCATGTGCCCAGGGCCACTGTTGTCATTGATAATGGTATTGCACCACAGTGTGTTTTAACATACAAGGATATTTTCTTGCTACTCAAAACAAAGATGATTATGCAGAGTATTTTTATTCATGCATTTGAGATATAAAACCCCAGCTGCAAGTTGGTGTGCAGTGGTGTCAGTGTAACCACACTGTTTGGGGAAAAACTAGCTACACATCTTCAGATTCTTTTATTCAGGGTAGCAATTGTTGTGGACCAATCTGGAGTTACTCCCTCTGTTTTTTGGTTTATGGAAGTGATGAAAAAGTTAATCCAAATGGCTTTTAGAATCTGACAGTCCTGAATTTGAGTGTTTCAGCCTTGCTGTCTGGGTATCTACTGAGATTATTTAATCTCTCCTAACCTCAGTGTCTCCTTCTTTAAGATGGGAGTGATAATAGTAAAATCTCCTAGGGTGATTGGGAAATTCAAATAAGGTGATACCTAAAAAGTGCTTGCTATCTGGCACAGTAAATGATTATTTTTATTGGCTTCTCCTTACTTTCTTAGGCCAGTCCTCTGCAGACTTATTTCTTACATTTTCGTTGAAATATAATTGACATACAGCAGTTATAAGTACAGCATAATGATTTGACTTACATACATCATGAAAAGATTGACACAATAAGTTTAGTCATCCATGTTACATAGACTCAGAATTAAAGAAATAGAAAAAAAATTTTCCTGTGATGAATACTCATAGGATTTACTCTCTTAACTTTCATATGTAACATATAGCGGTGTTAATCATATTTATCATGTTGTACATTACATCCCTAGTACTTATTTATCTTGTAGCTGAGATTTTTGTATTTTGTACCTTTTGACTGTCTTCATCCAATTCCCCCTACCCTTAGCCTTCCACTCCGGTAACCAGAAATTTGATCTCTTTTTTTATCAGTTTGTTTGTTTTTGACTACAACACTTTGACTATAACAATAACTACAACACTATGTTAGTTCTTGTTAAACAACATAGTGATTTTTAAAAAGTTACTCATTTTATTGAAGTATAGTTGATGTACAATATTATGTAAATTATAAGTGTACAATATAGTAGTTCACAATTTTAATACTCCATTTATAGTTATTATAAAATATTGACCATATTCCCTATATTTTAAAATATATCCTTGTAGCTTATTTTATACATAATAGTTTGTACCTCTTAATTCCCTACCCCTATCTTGCTCCTCCCACCATGCCTCTCCACTAGCTCTCTGTATCTAATTCTCTGTGAGTCTGCTTTTTTATTGTTACATTCACTCATTTGTTGTATTTTTTAGATTCTATTTATAAGTGATATCATACAGTATTTGTCTCTCTCTGTCTGACTCATTTCACTTAGTATTAATACCCTCCAAGTCCATCCATGTTGTTGCAAATAGGAAAATTTTATTCTTTTCCTTGTGACTGAATAGTAGTATTTCATTTTATGTATATATGTGCCACATCTTCATTCATTCATCTGTTGATGGACACTTAGGTTGCTTCCATATCTTGGCAATTGTAAATAATGTTGTTATGAACATTGAGGTGCATGTATCTTTTTGAATTAGTACTTTTGCTTTTTTTTCGGATATATACCCAGAAGTAAAATTGCTCGGTGATATGGTAGTTCTATTTTTAGATTTTTAAGACACCTACGTATTGTTTTCCGTAGTGGCTGCTCTAATTTACATTCCCACCAGCCGTGCACAAGGGTTCCCTTTTCTCCACATCTCTTTTGTGTTCTTTTTCTTGATAGCCATTCTCACAGGTATGAGGTGATACCTCACTGTGGCCTTGATTTCCATATCCCTGTTGATTAGTGATGTTGAGCATCTTCACCTGCCTGTTGGCATCTGGATGTCTTTGGAAAAATGTCTGTTCAGGTCTTCTGCCCATTTTTTAATGGGGATACAACATAGTGATTTGATATTTTTATACATTATAAAATGATAACCATAAGTCTAGTTACCATCTGTCACTATAAAAAGCTACTAAAATGTTATTGACTGTATTCCCTATGCTGTACGTTACATCCCCATGACTGACTTATTCTAAAACTGAGAGTTTGTGCCCCTTAATGTGTCTCACCTAATTTCATCCTCCTGTGTCTTTTCCTTTTGGCAACCACTTGTTTGTTCTCTGTATCTATGAGTCTGTTTCTGTTTTATTTTATGTGTTTGTTTTGTTTTTTAGGTTCCACGTATATGTGAAATCAGATGGTGTTTGTCTTCCTGTCTGACTTATTTCACTTAGCATAATATTTTCTAGGTCCATTCATGTTGTTACAAATGGCAAGATTTCATTCTTTTTATAGCTATAGTTGAGTAATAGTCCATATGAGATTTTACGTGCACTCTTTAAGAGTGGAGTTTCTATTTCTCACAGCCCTCCGGCCAAAGGTAGGTTACACTGGCCTTCAAAGCCAAAATTTCTAGGGGCTCTTTTTCCCAGAAGGACCCCTGGGCTAGGAAACCTGACGGGGCTTGGCTCCCTTGCTACTTGGAGAGAACCTCTGCAATTGTAATTATCCTGTAGTTTGTGGGTTGCCCACCTCGGGTTTAGGTCTTGACTTTATCGTGTCTCCACTCCTCCTACCCATTTGCCATGGTTCCTTTATGTCTATAATTGTGGAAGATCTCTGCTAATCTTCCAGCCTTACTCATCAGTAGTTGCTCTGTAACTTGGACATCTTGACCACTCCCCTGCTCTGGAGACTTTTAGGCATAAAAAAAAATACCTCGTAGATTATACTCCTATATTTCTAACTAGGTACAGTATATTTTTCTTTGCATGCAATCTAAAAGGATTTATAACATATAAAGGGTTTTGTAAATCTTTCTAGTCCCACGGGACAACTACAGAATTAAATTTTTCCTTTTCAGAGGACTATTTCCTAAAATAAAATACTTGGCTAGGTATTTTTAAATCTTTTGAATCATCTGACCATGTTTATTTTATAATTAATGCAAGGTGAACACTAATTAAACTTCTGAGTATCTGAAACCTGCTTAATATAAAATATCATATATAAATTCCAAATGTCTTATTGTTTTCTTAATTAGTATAAATTGTACTTGGCAGAATCCTAGGTTCTACATGAAAGGGATTTTGGGTCATGGGTTCTTGTCCTGGGGAGTGGATTGGCTTTAGGGTATAAACTCCCTAAAATCTTACATAAGACCGTTTATGAATTTATGGTCATTTTTCTAGAGAGAGGATCCATAGCTTTACTCATATTCTCCACAGGTTCCATCACCTTGAAAAGATTAAGAGCTGGCCTAGCCCAGCCCCCTTGTCTGTACATTTACTGTAATTTATAGATGAGAAAAGCTGGCTTATTGACAGTGACACAGCTGCCAAGTGATGGGCTGTCTCACTGCAAAGCCTGGACCGTTTGTATTGCTCTAAGCTTGCTCTAAGCTCTCTCTCATGCATAATATTTGTAGACCACAGTTGAGCTTTCTTTAAATATATAATATTTATAAATTTTAAAGTATCATTCTTGGGTCACTTTCTAAAGTTCCCAATAAAACAGACATTAACCTAAGTACATTGAAGTGGTCAAAGCTTGACCAATAATAGGCATACTCCTACATTAGAAAAGATTATTATTTTTACTTCAAAAGCTTTCTTTGTATTTATCATGTGCCTAGTATATAAACTCTATAATGTATCTTTAAGATCTATATCAATAAACTTGTGTGGCAAAAATTTCTCAAGAAAAAAGCTGGAGGTGGGGGAGTAGAATGAAAATCAGAATGAAGTTTTTTGTCTTTTGGGTGCTTACTGAGGTTTATTTTCCCTTACGTGATGTTTCCCTTGTATGACGCTACTTCTCTTGATACTTGGTTTCTTTTCAAGGTTTAACAGTGTCTTGTCTTTATCTTTAGGCAAGCCAAAATTCTTTTCGGATAGAATATGATACCTTTGGTGAGCTCAAGGTCCCAAATGATAAGTATTATGGCGCCCAGACTGTGAGATCTACAATGAACTTTAAGATTGGAGGTGTGACAGAACGCATGCCAGTAAGTGGCTTTTGTGGAAATGTTGGCTTATTTTGAATGTGGAAATGAATGGCTTATTTGAATTTTACCTTAAAAATTTGTATTTTGCAGAGTTAAATTGTAAAGTTATTAGAGAGCTGGCTTTGTGAATAATATGTTTCTTATTAAAAGGTCGGAGAACTTTCTGAAGTTTGTATACTATTACTTTGAGCTGTGATTTTGAATATTTTGGATTTTTATTAAGCCATTTATCTTTCACTCTTGCTTGGATTTTTCATATTTTTATTAGAATTTTGCAGTTTGCAAACATTTTTAATTTTTATAAAATTTTTGTTTTTACTGATTTTTAAAACTTATTTACAAGAAAAAGATTTTTCCTTAATATTATACTTTCTATCTGTCTTGGCTTCAGTTTCTAGAAGAGTAAATACAAATTCATAAAAATACTGTTTGTCATGATGTCTGGCATATAATAAGTAATGTATAAATATTCATTGACTGCCACATGAATAATTTAATGATCAGAAAACTTCCTACCATAATTCCGTTAAATCTAAGATGGCCTCAGTCAGAACTGACATGTACTACTAAGGAAGAAAAAGACTGTCAGTTGAAGTTGTGGCATGTCATTGACTGTAAGGTGCATCCTGATTTCAGAGACGTTAAACTGTGAAAAGAACTGATGAAATATATTACAGAACCTACTGGAGCCCAGTTGGAGTATGAAAAATAGTCAGTGCAGGAATGCAGGATAGGCAGGTAAGCCTGAAAGTAACCAGGCTTCATCTGGTGAGATACTGTTTAACACTTATCTTCTAAATATACTTTTATCTTGTAATACTTTTAACTTTCATAAATTAGCTCATTCCTAAGGCTTCAAGACTGAAACTTGACAGATTCATACAATTTTACAAGAGGCAACAGAATCTTCTTAGAAGAGTATCTCTGTTACGGCCACCCGTAGCCATTTTAATGGTGAGGTAAACAGGATCAGACTACATGGTTGAATGACAGAGGGCAGCAGCTGATCTTTAAATTTTCTCACGTAGTTCAGCTCCTGAGATGAGAGAGATCAGTCTTAACCAGTATTGATTGGAATAAGCGTGGCTCGTGTTTTGATTCTCCTTCTTCAACTAGCAAGGTGTGTGGTTCCAGGGGTGTGTGATTGCTGCTGCTGGGCAGTTGTTTGGATCTGGACAGGTGTCTGTGAAAGATGGATACATGCATTGTCAGTTTTTTCACGTTTGGCTTCATCTGGATTAATTTCCTGAACTATATTAAATATAAAGCAGACTCTATGTGCCTTGAACTAAGTAGTATGATTAAACCGAACCCTTTGTACCTGAGGTCCATAGACAAACAAAACCAAAAACGATCACGAACTGCTAACTTGAGTAAATGAAGAGTAATGAGGCCCTTCTTTTGTCTCATGATACATTTACCATTGTGTTCAGTGAAACGCTGTGCTGTGACCCTTTTTCATTTTTATGAGCCCACAAACACTGGGGGCTCAGTCACTTGATTCCAGGAGCCAGAGTTGGTTCGCATTAGGTTATGACTTTGGCTGGTAGTGGGTTAGGGTTAGGGTTAGACTACAGTGTTCCTGTAGAAATATAAATTCTCATTTGTTTTCATGTGTAAAGTTTTAAAGTTTATAATGCATGTGCCATTTTTCTCCATTTCATTTGGGTAAAACGTAATGTTTTAATTTTAATTTCTTAAAATTCAAAATAAAAATGTTCTGTTTTTATTTCCTTTCCTATTTGCCCCTCAGTTTATCCTCTGTGTGGCCCAGGTTCAGTGTGTCTTACTTCTTACTTTTTGTTTTCCACTTTTATTCCCCTCTGAAGACTAGAGCTTCTTTTTTATAAATTTACCACCCTCTTCCTCACCCTTCCTTTCTTCCTTCTCTTTTTTCCATTCAGATATGGTATGCTATCCAAACCACAGTCTGTATTATTAATTTTGACAAGGACACATAATTTACTTCTTACGAAAACCAGGTATCACTTCATTGAAACCTCATCAAAATTACTGAGTTTATCCTTTTAAATTTGGTGAGGTACTTCAGTGTAGAATGTCGAAAGATTTGCAAACTAAAAGGGTTTGACATATGGTTTTATGTGTATATATATGTCAGAAGGTATCATCTTTAGGTCTATAGAACTCTGGGTTTAAAAAAAAATTATTCTGAGAGGAGTGTCCAGACTTTACTGACTAACTAAAACATGCTTTTTGGCTTTGGGATGAAATGATACCCAATCAGTAACTATTTCATACTAATTAGCAGTTAAATATATAATCCCATTATATTATTTACTTATTCAATTATTTATTTAATTGAGCTATAATTTATGTATAACATATAGTTGCAGGTGTACAACATAATGATTCAATATTTGTGTACATCACCGCAATAAAGCTAGTCAACATCCATCACCATATGTAGTTACAAAAAAATTTTTTGTGTGTGATGAGGACTTAAAATCTCTCCACAAGTTTCAAATATGCAATACAGTATTATTAACAGTAGTTACTATGCTATACTGTAAGTCATCCCCATGACTTACTTATTTTATAACTGGAAGTTTGTACCTATTAACCTCTTGGTTACATTTCATCCACCTCCTACCCCTGACAACCACCAGTTTGTATCTGTAAGCTTGGTTTTCTGTTTGTTGTTTGTTTTGTTTCTTAAATTCCACATAAAATTGAGATCATGTGGTACCTGTGTTTCTCTGTCTGACTTATTTCATTAAGCATAATGCCCTCAAGATCCATCCATGTTGTAAATGGCAAGATTTCATTCTTTTTAATGGCCAAATAATATTCCATTGTATGTTTACCACATCTTTATCAATTCATTCATTGACGGACACAGGTTATTTAAATAATGCTATGAACGTGGAGATGCATGTATCTTTTTGAATTAGTGTTTTTATTTTCAGGTAAATACCCAGTAGTGGATTGCTGGATCAGACAGTACACCTATTTTCAATTTTTTGAGGAACCTCCATAATGTATTTTATAGTGGCTGCACCAGTTTACATTCCTCTCAACAGTGCACGAGGTTTCCCTTTTCTTCACATCCTCGCAAACTCTTGTTATATGTTATCTTTTTGATAAAAGCCATTCTAACAGATGTGAGGTGATATCTCATTGTGGTTTTAATTTGCATTTTTATGATGATTTCATGTGTCTGTAGGCCATTTGTATATCTTCTTTGGAAAAATAGCTGTTCACTCCTCTGCCCATTTTTTAATCACTTTTTTTTTCCTTTTGAATAGTACGAGTTCTTGATATATTTTGGATTTTAACCCCTTATCTGATACATGGTTTGCAAGTATTTTTTTCCATTCAGTCGGTTTCATTTTTCATTTTTTTGGATGGTTTCCTTTGCTGTGAAGAAGCTTTTTAGTTTAAGGTAGTCCCATTTGCTTAGTTTTGCTTTTGCTGCTTTTTCTTTTGGACTCATCCAGAAAATCCTTGTCAAGACTGATGTCAAGGAGCTTACCACCAATAAACATAGTCTTATGGTTTCAGGTCTTATGTTCAAGTCTTTAATCCATTTTGAGTTCATTTTTTGTGTATGGTTTAAGATAGTGTTCAGTTTCATTCTTGTGCATGTGACTGTCCAGTTTTCCCAGCACCATTTTGCTACCTTTATTTTATTTGCTATTTTTATTTTTTTAAAGAGAAGGAAAAATTATAATGTAGCATGGGATCCAATAAAAGAAAATAATGAAATAGGCTGGTGAAATGATTATCATTTATTTTTAAATATATGAAATAAAAACATGTTATAATGTCATATTAAAAATAGGGTGAATGATATATTGTGTATGTGTGAGTATGTGTATATAAGTGTGTGGGGCATACACACATATCTATGAAAAATCAATGTACTTGCTTTTGTTTGGTTCTCTGAACGAGTAGATAAATGATGATTCTTGGCTTTTATATGCTTATCTTCATCTAATATACCTTGTATCTTTTATATACCTATCTTTAATGTTCCTTTACATTCTAAGCATTTTAGGGTCGTAGTGTTATTTAAGTTATTGTTTTACATGCAGTCTTTGCACCTGCATAAAATAGTAATCTTAAACTTTCATGCTCAACTGAAATTGCAAATTTGAGATATTTTTCTGATTAATTTTAGATCCCAGTTATTAAAGCTTTTGGCATCTTGAAGCGAGCAGCTGCTGAAGTAAACCAGGATTATGGTCTTGATCCAAAGATTGCTAATGCAATAATGAAGGCAGCAGATGAGGTAAGAGGTGATAAATATATTTACTTAATGGCATCAGACCCATATTATCCCCTGGATGATGATAAGCTCTGGCAGGAGGAAAGGGGCACTGTGAATCCCTGAGTTAATGAATTTCAGGGTAGGGTGGCAGCATTACTGTTTGGTAAGGATATTAATATGGTGCTTAAAATAACTATATTGTGGCAAATTTGCTGGATGACCTTTTATTTTCAATTCTCTTTACTTTTAATTTATATAGTTTAAGAAAACTTTTTGAAGAGATACTCTTTAAACTTACGTATTTGATTTATTTTATGTATAAATGATTCCTTTTAAAGCTAATTGGTTATTTGATAATATGTATGGAGAATGTAATTTCACTATTCCACTAATAACATAATTGCTTAAGGAAGCAGGCAGAGATAACAGTTTTAAAGCTCAGTATATAATGTTGTTCTTTGCAGTACTGTTTGTTTATTTTTTTGATTTCTACCTTCAGCTTCTTTTTTTTTTTTAATGGAGGTACTGGGGTTCAAACCCAGGACCTTGTGCATGCTAAGCACATGCTCTGCTGCTGAGCTATACCCATCCCCCAGCTTTGTTTGTTTGTTTGTTTGTTTGTTTTTTAATGGAGGTACTGGGGATGGAACCCAGGACCTCATGCATGCTAAGCATGAGTTCTGTAACTGAGCTACCCCCCCACTCCTACTATTTATAATAATAATAAATTAGACTGTGTAAGTTACATTGTGAAGCCATAGTAGTTTAGTTTTTTAAAGAATGTCATAGAACAAAGCCTATCATGGAGGAAGTGGGGAGAAAAGATTGCAAAACGAATGTATTTTGTGATCCTAGTGTTGTTTAGAAAAAATGCACGTAAAATGTGTTTTTCTATATCTACACGTATACTCCCATCACTTGAAGTAGAGACTAGGAGGAGACGCCAAAATGCTGATTTTCTTTATTTGTGAGGGTAGAACTGTGGTGACTGTTATGCTTTTCTTAGTTCTCAGAATTCTTTACACTGATCACCTATTTATTTTTATACAAAAAAGTTTTACTTTGAAGTGAACCGTGTTTAAGGTAATCTATTTCTAAAGTGCCTATTGATTTTTTTAAGCTAAAATCATTCCTAAAGATGAAGTTAAGCACCCACTCTCTTAGAAAGCTTACAATTCAAAAACTAATAAATTAACTAAAAGTACAAAAATATGACAAAAATAGGAACAAATCTAGATGATGTTTATATCTATGCTTGGAGGGTGCTACTCATCAGACATCTGTGGGGTGCAGTATCTGTTAGTGAAGTCACACTGTTAAGTCACTCATTCGTTATCATGCTGACTCTGGCAGTAACATCTGTTGGATATTCCTGCCAAGTACCAACAGTAAATTTATCTAGAGGCTTAACATGTTTACCAGCCTTAACAGGTGGCCCTATCTGGATATTTCTAGAGGAGGCAGATGGAGAAATAGAAGAAAGATCACTTTGATTCAGTTTCATTTGCAATCAGTGAAATTGTTATACGTCACAATAGAAAATCTTTTGCCTTTTTAAGTAGCAGTGGTTAGAAAAAGTGATTCTGCAGAAGCTTCAGTTTGCTGGACAGCCACGAACTATATGGTACCATCAATAGCATACGAACAAAGTGAATGTCTTTAAGATATTATAAATGAGGCCAGCTTAACTATATTTGATTAAAAGTAGTAGCTAAATGAATATTGAATATTTCTTATTTTTTTAATTTATTTTTTAACATTTTTTTCTGCAGGTAGCTGAAGGTAAATTAAACGATCATTTTCCTCTTGTGGTGTGGCAGACTGGATCAGGAACCCAGACAAATATGAATGTAAACGAAGTCATTAGCAACAGAGCGATTGAAATGCTAGGAGGTGAACTTGGCAGCAAGAAACCTGTGCATCCCAACGATCATGTTAATAAAAGCCAGGTCAGTATACGAACTCTTCTTTTCCTTGATATAAATTGAGATTTTCCGTGTGAATAGGCATTAACTTTTGACACAGTGTTCATTCTGCTTATGTTCTGTAATGGAAAGGACTGCTTATATATATTCTTATTTTTCCTAGGAATCTTGGGTATGTGTCTTAAAATTCGTAAAAATTACTTTTAGGGGGAAAATATCACTTTTAGGACACCTGAATTTAGTATATATGTATATTTTTATTGTTTGCTTTATATTTTATAAACTGTTTTGAAATATAAAATTATTTATAAGAATTACAAAGATATTTCAAAGAGTTCCTGTAGACCCATCACCCAACTTCCCTTAATATTGAATATGTTACATATCTCTGTACACTTATCCCACTGAGAGATTAGCATTGTTGCAATACTCTTAACTAAAGAGGCTTTGCCAGGATTTCCCTGGTTTTCTGTCGATGTTCGTTTTCTCTCCAGGATCCAGTCCATGCTCCACGTTGTATTTAGTCATCATATCCCCTTAGGATCCTCTAATCTGTGAGAGTCTGTCTTTCGTCTTCGTCACTTTTGAAAGCAGTGGTCAAGTATTTTGTAGACTGGAATGAATGAATGAATGAAACCTCAGTATGAGTTTGTCTGCTATTTTCTCATGATTAGACTGAGACCGTGGATTTTGGAGAAGACTAAGTTAACTCAGTGTTTTGTTACTGCTGGTCTTACATGCATATGCTAGCTGTACTTCTCTATGTCTTGCTGTCATTTACTAGCAGGCAGATATAATGATAATATATAATAAACATTCATTATAGGTGGTGTATGTAATACCATCCTAAACACCTCCCACAAAGGAAATAAGGTTGCTTTGTATTTGATCCTATGTCATTTGCCATACGTAAATGGCATTGAGTACTAAATATACCGAGTTTTGAGTAGTCATTTAGTGAGATTTTTAAATTGAGACATTCAAGTTTGTTTTTTGTTGCCTCTGATTTAACATTTTACATTTCTTTTGAAAATTTTTCGACAGAGCTCCAATGATACTTTTCCCACAGCAATGCACATTGCAGCTGCCATAGAAGTTCACGAAGTACTGCTGCCAGGACTGCAGAAGCTACGTGATGCTCTCGATGCAAAATCCAAAGAGTTTGCCCAGATCATCAAAATTGGGCGTACTCATACACAGGACGCTGTTCCACTTACTCTTGGGCAGGTAGAGGAGTGTGATTACATTTGGTTCAATTGTGGGCTTCATACAAATGGCCAAAATAGAGATTACCCTCTAAACCACATTGGTTTAAGAAACCAGATTTATAACAATTCAGTTCAGTGACAGAGATGGTTCTGCATTAATCAGTCCTTAGTTTTATTGGCATCCACTTAGGAGAAGAGCAGAGCATCCTGGCTATGAGCCAGATTTCACGTCAGTCTGCTTGAGTTCAAGTCTTAGCTTTGCTATGCACAAGCTATTGGACCTTAGGAAAATTATTGGGCCTTTATGTGTGTCAGTTTTCTGAGTGCTAAAATGAGAAAAATAATATCTCTTTCCTAGTATAGTTACGAGGTTCAAATAAGCTGACTCATGTAGAATGCTTAGAACCATTCCTGATGCATTATAAGCACATATTGGTGTTAGCCATCGTCATCATCTTCCTCAGTATCATTATCATTTCTTCCTTTTCTCTCTTACTCTAAATTAGTAGGTTCTTTAAAAATTAATTTTAAAATGATTAAATGGGGCATACTTTACTCTTTAAAATTGTTTTGGCCACATGTGAAAGAGGTATTACTCTCTTCTCCAAAATGCCAGTATTTTGGAGTTTCTTGATTGTATTTTTACATTTCTTTATTATATTTTTATGTTTCTTTATTGATATCTTAAAGACTGTAATAGTATACATTTCCAAGGAAATGTAAGGAAATACAGGGAACAGTTTTGTCTCAGTAAGCTTACTCCAATTTGGGAAGTAAGACACACACAAATTCTATATCAAGAGATGGTTATATATGCCAAATATCAAATTATGGTTATTAAATAATAGTTTTGTAGAAATTCAGGTGAGGGTGAGAGTTTGACTGCTGCTTACTTGGAAAGATTTCATTTGAAGTTCAGATAAGAGCAAACATTGAAGAAAGCTTGATCACTTAGCTTAACTTTGTCACGAAAGGGGTGAGGAAAACTGGAAATGATTAATTGAAATACAGATGATATGATCAAATTGAGCTCACTAAATTAAGTTGCTTCTTGAGACTGCCTTACTTCTCTTTGTATCATTGGCTCTTAATAACATGCATAATTTCTAAGGAGATACAGTATATGTTTTTGAAACTTTTAAGAATCCCTTTGTTTTCTAAGGCTTTTCTTTTTTGTGTGTGTCTCACATGTTGGAAAAACCATTTTATGCTCAGGTCCATTTGGGCCATGACTCAGCCTCCCATGTAAAATCATCACCCTGAATATTATGACAGAAAGTCACATTTTTCTGTTTGACTTTACCTTATCAGAAGCATGTATACTTGGTTTTATTGGAATTGTCTTTTGAGTTTTTTGAGTGCAATTTTTTTCCCCAATAAAAAAAAATATTTCTTAAGTGAATCCATCTGTTATGTATGTAAGTGACATCAGATCAGGTGGATCAGGTCTACCTGAAAGAAGCTGTATCTTCTAAAATGTTTTCTTTAGCACAGTATGAAATCCTAGTACTAATCAAAAGTATTCAAGGTTTTTCCATGTTTTTAGGCAGGAAAAAAGATAGATTTCTTATAATCATATATCCTGGCTTGCTCAGTTGAGTTCCAGTTTGTGCCTTCTGTCCCTGCATAGTTCTTAATAGGGCCCCTGCTTTGATAAATTCTGTGGTTACTTAGAATGTTATACTTTGGGAACCAGTGTGGCATTAATAGCGGAATTAGAATACATCTTGAAGCTATAGTCTGTCTTTACCCTGTTACCTTCTTGTGCTGTTCAGTGAGTCACTTAGCTTCTTGAGTCCCTGTAAAACATCCTCGAGTTCCCTATCAAGTGTTTTAACTGAAATTGTATAGAGGATATTTCTGTGTTTGGTTTTTTTCTTGAGGGGATTCAGGTTTTGTCTTTCTCAAAATGATTTGAGGTACACCAAAAAATAAATTATTTCCAAATAAACCAATAATTTAATTTAGGACAGTTGTTCTTTTTTTTAAGTTTATTTCCTATGTTGTTTTTCTTTGCTTTCTATTAGAAGACTAGTTATCACCAGGCCACATGTTATCATCAGTGACATTATCTACCTGATAGGTTTATAAATCCTCTTTCTCCCCTATTCTTTGCTTGTCGTATGAATTAAAATAGTATAAATACCACTTGGTAGCTTATTATTTTGTACTTGAAACGTGTTTCTTAAAAACTTCTATTTAATGCAGTTAGAGTAACTCATAAGCCATTAGGAAATTATATATTCTCACTTTAATTTTTTTCTCTTTTCAGGAATTTAGTGGTTATGTTCAGCAAATGAAATATGCAATAACAAGAATAAAAGCTGCCATGCCGAGAATCTACGAGCTCGCAGCTGGGGGCACTGCTGTCGGTACGGGTTTAAATACAAGAATTGGCTTTGCGGAAAAGGTTGCTGCCAAAGTGTCTGCACTCACAGGTAAGTGGTAACACGATTTATTACTCATTTCCATTATACTAGTCTGTATTTTTACCAGGTGTTTCTGCTTTGAATTTTAGAAATTTAAAGTTAGAAATAATATTTTCCCATTGAACATGTATGTGCTTTATGTCTGTTTCAGAAGTTATAGTGTTAATCCTCTTGCTTTTTAAAAGTTTTCCGTCCGTGAGTTCACACAGCATGTAATTAAAATCTGTTGGTGTTAACTTTGTTTACTATCAGTTAGTATGCTGTTATTTTCTCTTTAAAGATGTTTTGAATACTCATTTTCAAAGCAGGGAAAATCAACTAATGGTTGAGAAATTCATTTGAATGATAAATATGTTGGTGATTGACAGGCTTAATTCTTTTTTTTCTGTGGCATGCTGTGGAATTTTTTTGAATTAATGACTTTTTTGAATTTTCTTTTCTTTAGTGGAATACTATGCTCAGTAATGAGAATTGTCATTAGAGCTGTCATCTCCAGAAAACTCTTACTAAGATACAGATGTTGGCAGGGGGTTAGGGTTGAGATAATTATACAGTGCTCATTATTACTTACTAGAGTTTGTTTTTTAATCAGATTTTAATTGAGAGAAATTGTATTATAGGGTTTAGAATGTGTAGATCTTTAAAAATTTGAACATGGGAGAGATTGAGAATGTCTAACTCTTTTGGGTCCCCTAATCTCTCAGGATCCTGTGGGCCCGGGCCAGAGGAGGAAACAGAATGCCTAAAATGGGGGAGGGGGGTTACAAACAAGGGGGTGTGGAATAAAGCAGAGTGAATTTTACCTACTTTTCATCTTTACTCAAGTGTAGTCAGACATACACATGTGTTTCCTGTAGGATAGTGTTTTTTTCTTTCAATATATTTATTGTACTTGTTTTTTTATCCTTTCAGTGTGCTGATATCATCAGTTTCTTTCTGCTTCTTAGAGACTTTGAATAGTAGATGAAGCTTGAGTCTTATGCATTTTTTTCTGAAGTAAAAATTGTATTTTGTTCTGTTTTTGCTTTTCATGTATTGGCACTTTCTGTTTAACTTGCTGATATTAGAAAAATGTTTAATTTTACCTGTTAACTCATACAGGTTACTTTTTCTTCAGGCTTGCCTTTTGTCACAGCTCCAAATAAATTTGAAGCTCTGGCTGCTCATGATGCTTTGGTTGAGCTCAGTGGAGCCATGAACACTACTGCCTGTAGTCTGATGAAGATCGCAAATGACATTCGTTTTCTGGGTTCTGGTCCTCGCTCAGGTCTGGGAGAACTGATTTTGCCTGAAAATGAACCAGGAAGCAGTATCATGCCAGGTAATTACATAGCTGGTAAATGTTAGAGCTGGAACTTGACTAGAACCCAGGCATTCTCATCTACAAAGCAGGTCTACTTTTGTTTAACATGATCCCCAAGTGGATGGGGACATGTATGGCGTACGTGTTTCAGAATGTCTTTGTGGGCCACCTTCAATCAGGGCTCCTAGGAACATCACCCAACAATATAGGAGAAAAGAGTTTTAGTTAGCAGCATATATTTTGATTCCCACATTAGAAAATGTTTGATAGTTCTTTCTCAGGATCCAAAGCCCATAGAGTTCTAGAGCACACTGTTAAAGTGATGAGCATGGGTTGCATAAAAACGAATTATACGAAACGCATCTTAAATTTTTCATTTTGGGTTTTGGCTCGTTAGGTAAGGTTGGCCCCACAGATATGGTTGGGTCCTTGCTTTATTATATGTCTTACTTTTTTTTAATGAAGTTATATTTCCTTCTTTGGATTATTTGACATAAAACCAAATCTTAACTCATACTTCAAGCCACAGTTGTGTTTGATGTGGTATCTTTCCTTGGCGGTTTTCTTGAAGGCAAGGTGAACCCCACCCAGTGTGAAGCAATGACCATGGTTGCAGCCCAAGTCATGGGGAATCACGTCGCTGTTACTGTTGGAGGCAGCAATGGACATTTTGAGTTGAATGTTTTCAAGCCAATGATGGTAAGCTTTAAATTTGACTTTTAATGTCTTTAACTGAAGGTTAGTGGTCTTGGTTTTTGTCTTTCATAAAGCTTTCTTAAAGTTCATGGCGTACTTGAATGATAAAGGTAGCAGTTGGAAATCAAGCATACATTAATGTTAGAGGATTAATCCTGGATATTTAGATTGGTGACTTTTAGCTTAAGTAATTTGATGGTTTGCTTTTTTTAATGGAAAGAAAAATTCCAGAAGTGGGATATAGGTTTCTCCCTTGTCCCTTGCCATTGGGGATGCCAGTAGCGAGAAATATGTTCCAGTCTACTCTGTTTAAAAAAAAAAAGAGGAAGGAAACCCTCCCTCCAGCCTGTCTCCTTCTTATGCTGCTGCTTTCTTCTCTCTGAATTCAACCCTTTTGAAGGAAGACCCATTCTCACTTTTATTTACACTACAGTCTGCTTTCCATCCCTGCACTTGAATATGAATTGTTCTCATAGCCCTTGTGACCTCTTGAGTCCAGTAGACATGCCATGGCTAACATCTGACCTTGACTCTTCCCCTCCTGAAACACTCTTTGTCATTGGTTTCTTCAGCACTCTCTCTGCTTCTCTCCCCTCCCCGCCCCTCAAGGCTTTCTTCCATTGGTTTTATCTCTTCCATATACCTTGAAAACATTGTGTCTGCTAAATCTGTTCTTTTTCCTTCATCTTTATGAAGATGGAACAAGATGGCATCATCATTCATCCAGTTTCCCCAACTTCAGATAAGGGAGGTGTTATCATTTAGAGTCCTTTACTTGTGTAAGATATTGTATCTAAATATATATTAGAGGCTTATTTCCAGTGCATATCTGGTGAACAGTCTGATTTCAATTTGATAAGAACATGAATGACAAATATTAAATACATTCATTCAGTGTATTCATCACATATTGATTATTAGTTTGTACCAGGCACTGTACTGGTTGCTAGTGATAGAACATTGAAGAAGACAGATTTTTTTTGCATCTATGGAATGTACATTCTAGTGGAAAATAGAAAAATAGGCCAAAGTACGTCTCAGACCAATAAGCTTTTGCTTTCAGGTCAGATTCCAAACAGTTAACACCAACTGCCTGGCAAAAACAGTGCAAAACAATAAATGTCTTGCTAATTTTTTCTTTAAAAACAAAAGCATATTTTGTTTTTAGTAGAAAATAAGTCAAGATAATCAACATTTGCCATGTAATAAAATCATTGGTATCGAGTTAAACCTTGACATTCTTTGCCTTCTCCTTGAGTCGTTGTTGGTTTTCAGACCCTGGGGTTTCAGACCAGAGGGATTAGGATGTAGATGTGTGTCTTACTATCTATTGGGAATATTACTAAAAAGAAAAAAAAAAGCTAAAACAGACTTTTTACTGTTTTAAAATACTGTGTGAAAGGTTATTTTCAAGTGACCGTGGAATATTTGTTTTGTTAAGCATAATAAACATGCCGATCATTAAGAACTAGGAAGCCCTGGGTGGAGGCTATAGCTCAAGTGGTAGAGTGCATGCCTAGCATGCACAAGGTCCTGGGTTCAATACCCAGTACCTCCTCTAGGAAGAAAGAAAGAAACCTAATTACCTCCCACCTCAAAACAAAACAAAACAAAACAAAAAAACAAACAAGAACTAGGAAGCCCTGACTTCACTGATTGCCTCCAACATATGCTGAACTTCCTGACGTCTGCATCTTTGCTTCTCTTCCTGCTGCACGGAAGATTCTTTTTCCATCTGTCTATTGAAGTCCCCTCCATCAAACAGAGCTCTGTCGATTCCTACAACTGAAATTTGTTTCTCTTTCTCTATGCTCTCTAACATTTCATACCTGTGTTTTGTAACACCATAGACTGTCTTTGTTTTAGTTATTTGTATTTATGCCTTTTTATCTCTTCTAGACTTATGTGCCCTGAAATGTTCATAATTCCTTTCATATTTGTTTTCTTGAGTATGATGCTTTACAAGTTGTAGGAGTGCTATATGTTAATTGAATTGTGTATTCATTTGTGAACCAGCAAATAGTATGTTATTGGACAAAGAAAAAAGGTAGGCTTAATAAGTCTCTCTCTCTATCTTAGATTAAAAATGTGTTACACTCGGCCAGGCTACTGGGGGATGCGTCGGTTTCCTTCACAGAAAACTGCGTGGTGGGAATCCAGGCCAACACAGAAAGGATCGACAAGCTAATGAATGAGTCTCTAATGTTGGTGACAGCTCTTAATCCTCATATAGGTATGCGTTTAAGGATTAGTAATGTCGTTTTGAATACAGAGTTAAAAAGCTGAAAAATTTTAAGAGACTTCTGGATCAGTGTTGGTGAACAGCAAATTCCTTTTGGACAATCTCTTAAAACATTTGAAATTGTGTTGAAAGACACTATATATTTTTTTAACCTTTATGGTGTCATAGTTCTTTCAAAAACTTAATTATGCTTCATTTTATTTGAAATGTGGTAAGTTCAGAAGTAGAACTTCAAACTTATTTTAATCTTGATGGAATTCAGATACTGCGGGACACTTGGGAAAGGTCCTCTCAGTTCATTATGTCACTAGGTGACACTGGCTGATTGAGAACAGTGATTTAATTCATTTTTCTACCTTCTCTAGATGCTGTGCTATACTTTGTTTTTGTTGTTTGATTCAACTCAGAAATGTATTAAATTAAAAGAAAAAGGGTTATGTATGCATTGCTTATAGGGAAAGGGCGGGAAATGCAAATATTTTGTCTAAAACTATGGCTTTTGTATTTCAAGCCTTTTCCAGAATTATAAATATCTCATTATGTAGCTTCAAACATGTTGACTTGGATTGTAGACTGACTAAGATCATAGTGATCCCCATTAAATACACTCTTGACTCATGGGTTTTGAGGCATTCATTGCATTATGTGATGATGTGTTAAAAGCCTTTTCCCACCTTCTCCTTACTTCTGAGCTGAGATTATTAACATATTCTTTGATTCTCTATTTTAGAGCAAGTTATGATGTTGTCATTTGGCATGATATGATTACTGTTACGAAACAATCTTACTTCTGTAATCCTGAACTGTCGAGGCTGATTTTATATTCTTGGCTTTATGTTAAGTTATAATTTCAGTCTTAAAAAGTTAGAGCTCATTTGACTGCTTCAGGTAGCTTTGAGCCCAATATGTTGTCTCTTCTTTGATGTACTGTTGAGATTGGCAATGATATTTGGATTCTTTTGAAATTATTGTCCATTAGCATTCAACTGGAGAGACACAGGGGAACCCAAAGGCTCATGTGAGAAATGTTTCATCACATTTATACTTCAGAATTTATTACCAAAACATGTAAATTAGAGATACTCCTAAAGCTGAGTGATTGGTATGTCTTTCTTGGGGTCAATTTAGTGTGAGGTAAAGCCATACAGGATAATTGGGCAAAGCACACCTTACCAGTGACAGAGCATGAACCTTACAACTCCACATCATGGGTTCTTTTTGTGCTTCTTATGTAACAAGCTGGTTGGTAATCATGTTTTGTGGGACTTGTAGAAGAGGACCAAAAGGATTAGCATAATACTTAGATTTTAATGTCATTATTAACATGAAGGTACAGAATATCTAATATTGACCCCAAAGGTTTAACATGAGAATTCTTTCAAAGTTAGTCTGATCAGTAAATGCCCTTTTCAGCATGTTTAGCATTCACAAATTCAGTTAAGTATAAAATTTACTATGCCCATGGTAAGTTTTATAGGTGGTTAATAATTGCATACTACATGTAAGATCCTGTAGGTGGTTGATAATTGCACACGACATGTAACATCTTGCTCGGTTGATGATCATATTGCCTCAGCAGGCTTCTTCTCTTTGGTCATAGTCCTCTGACCTTGGATTTTGTTTTTTTTATTTATTTTTTTCCTTCTTCATTGGTTTCATTTTTATTTTTTCTCTGCTTTCTGGCTTTTGTCTTTGTCTTTTTTTGTTTAATTACATTCAGTTGAAATAACTTGCAGAATTATCCTGCCCCATCTTTATTAATTTCAAAAGCAGTTAACCTTGAAGTAAACAGTAGACCTGTGATCTCTCGCACGAGTACATATTTATGCTAAAACTTCCCAGCCTGTACCCTTGTAATGTCTGGAAAGAGGCCAGTGTCTGGAGTGCTGAATAGAGAGCTGTTGGGAGCAGCTCGGAAGGCACATCTCTCCTCAGAGCCCTGCCTGCTCTTCCCTCCTTGTGCGTCGACTCCCAGAGAGGAGAAGACTGTCCTGTCTTGTCCCTCTCAGAGCCTCCCCCACAGCTCCTGGTCAGGCAGCGCCGTGTGTTCTGTAGTGCTGCTGCGTGCAGCTTGTTAATGCTTTGTTAGAAAGATGATTGCTTCTGGTTAAACTTGCTGTTGAAACAACACATTTATCCTACTCAGATGTATGTTTTTCTGTCTTGGTATATGTGTATATGTATTATACACACGCATACACACATATATGTATGGAGATGTATCTATGTATATATTCTCCCCCTTCCATGAAAATAATCTGAGTCATTGGGCAATTTTAATTTAGGAACAAATCTTGCAGAAAGTGAGGTGTGTTTAAGTCTGTATTAGTTAAGAAGAGTAAAACTTTTATTCTGTATAGGAGATGACAACCATCAAGATAATCACTGTTAAATATTTTTAAGATTAAAAGCTGTTTACTTCAGAGACCAGTAGCATCAATATCAAGTAACTAATGATTCCCTTTTGCTTTAGAAAACCACTGCTAACTGTTACCTCCCCTTTTAATTTTTCCTTCAGGGTATGACAAAGCAGCCAAGATTGCTAAGACCGCACACAAAAATGGATCAACCTTAAAGGCAACTGCCATTGAACTTGGCTATCTCACAGCAGAGCAATTTGATGAGTGGGTAAAACCTAAGGACATGTTGGGTCCAAAGTGATTGAAATAAATTTATAATAAACAGGATTATGGAGTATAAAATAAAGTGAAACAGACTCCTTACATTTCTTAAACAAAAATGTATAAGTGTGAAGAAAGCTGCTGTGGAACTTGAGCATCTCTAGCAGGGCAGTTTGGTCAGTGTGTAAAACCCCAGGACCTGCTAGGTCCAGAGTGAGTTTAAAAAGTGTAAAATAAAATAATTAAATTGTATAAAATCAAAAGAAAGATAGACTGATTGTTCTTTCATCGTTAATTGACTTGTATTATAGCTGATTCTGTGATTTATGTGTATGGGTGTTTATTATTTTAGGTGTTTTATAAAAAAGCCATATCTATTTTTAGAGCTTTAATTTTTTTTGGTTGGTGGTATTTTTAGAGAATTCTCCTGTAATGAAATAGTTTTTGTTAGCTCATTCTAAAGTCATGTCTTCAGACATCTTTTATTTTCCCGTGATTTGGGAGTATAAGCTGACCAAGCATTTGCCCTTCTAAGTGGGCATGTGTGTGCACACGCATGCATGTGCGTATTTGGAAATAGGATAGATTAACAAAATTAAGGCATATATATCCTATGTGCTAATTACACAGACACACACACCTCCTGATCTTATTTGAATTTTCATAGGCTGGAAAGACTGAGTCGAGAATTATAGGACATGGATTAGAAAGGACAAGGGGAGCAAGCACAAAGCTTGGAAAGAAAGGGAGGGTATCATGAAGGTAAGTCTTATCTCTCATGTGTCTACACCAGCACCAGGATTTTTCAGCAGGAATTCATTTGAAACAACTTCAGGAAGTTTTGAAGTAGCAGATCTAGGGAGATCCAGGTTAGGTTGACTTAAACTCGAAACTTAAGGCTTTATTTAAAATAGAGCCAACCTCAATTATATAGGGAATTGGGACAATTTGGTTTGTTCTGCCCCTTCCCACATGTATAATAAATAACAGGATTATGAAGAGGGTGATTCCCACTAGCTAAAGTATCTCTTCTGTAATTAGTGCTCTATCAAGTATGTTTAAAAAAAAAACAGGTTCTTACCCCTGATACTTATTCTTAGAAAATTAGGCTCATTAACACCAACTCCCCTGTGGTATTTAGAAGGTAGCATATATAGCATTTAAAAGCATAATTAAAAGTTCTAATGTAATGTTATGTGTCAATTGTATCTCAATTTTAAAAAGTTGTAGAAACACTGTGATGAAAAATGAAATTATAGTCTTACAACTAATCTCTTAAGCCTGAGTGGATATTCTTTCTTTTTTCTTTTTAACTGTAAAAGAGATTTCAAATCTTTTAGTGGAACTGCAGAGCCCAGAGGATCTACTTTTAGCCCATGCTGTATTGTTTTTGGTGGTGTTTTTCACATGGTGATGATGGGATGCTCATGCAGTTAGCTTTCCTGTAACCTATTTTGTTTAAAAAATATTTTTATTGGAAAAAATCAGACAACAGAATCAGCTAGAGTAGCGGTACCTCGAACTCAGCAACCAAACTGGCAGCTTCTATAGTTTTGATACTGAGTGATGTTGAATGTTTTGCCTTAGCAGGCATCCTCAATCTAAACAGGCTGTCGTTTGAGGGCTCAACTAGAGACATAACCAATTATGTAATAAAGATAACAGCAGATCAAGTTCCTAGCCTCAAACAGTCTTTGCACAGCTGTCTACTATATCCTGGCATATTATGAGCCATCACTGAATCCTTTGGGCTGACAGTCCTCTTTGTGTGACGTTAGTGAAGTCAAGCACTATGCTTTATGATGAAATCCTAAGTAAGGGTTTTAGAATTCTCGGGGTGGGGGTGGGTTTGTACTGAAAATCAACTTCAGTGTTTGTACACTGGGGACAGTTTTGTCTGACAAGGAACATTTGGCAATGTCCAAAGACATGATACAGGTAAAAGAGGAAAGAGAATTAAGATCTTTTAAAAAATGATGAAATTCTACAAAAGCTATGATCTCTTCAGGAAGGGCAACATGAGGATGATAGGTATCCCAGAAGGAGGAGAGTGAGAATGGACCAGAGAAAGTATTTAGAAAAACGATAGTTGAGAACTTGCCAAACCTGAGGAAGATATTGGATATACAAGTCCGTGAATCCAAGGGAACACCTAAGTTACCTTAACACAAAAAGAAGTTTTTCAAGATACATTATGTTTTGAACTCTTAAGAAATTTGTTTTAGAAGTTGTTATGTTTCCCTATCCTAACTTAGTAACAAAGGGTTTACTTATAATACTGTAGAAGTTTAGTTTAAAGTAATGGTCTTGACTGTGTACTGAATTTAGAAGTTGAAAATAATAGTATCTGTTTTATTCTTAGGGCAAACTGACATATTGTGCAATAAATCATCTTTTAAAAAAAAGACACATTATGTTTAAACTGCCCAAAATTAGTGGCAAAGAAAGAATTTAAAGGCAGCCAGGGAAAAAAGAATTATAACCTACAAAGGAATCTCTTGATAACTACAAAACATGAATCTAGAGCAGAGAGACAAACCATTAAAAAAAAGGAAAAAAAAATATAGAAAAACACCAAACCAAAATGGCAAATGGAAACACAAGGAAAAAGAAATGAAGGAGATACAGAGCAACCAGAAAACAAAAGAAAAAATGGCATTACCAAGTCTTCATCTGTCAATAATCACCCTAAATGTAAATGAATTGAATTCACCAGTCAAAAGGCACAAAGTGGCTGGCTGGATTAAAAACCAACACCCAACTATATGCCACCTTCAGGACACTCAGCTCTAAAGACAAACATAGGGTCAAAGTGAAGAAATGGAATATACTCCAAGCAAATGACAGCCAAAAGAAAGTGGGTGTAAAGAGACCTCAAGCCAAAAAAGGTAAGCAAGAGACATTATAATGATAAAGGGGATAATTCATCAAGAAGACATAACAGTCATTGATGTATATGCACCAATATATGAGCACTAAAACATATTAAGCAATTAACAGGCCTAAAGGGAGAAATGAGCAGCAACACAATAATAGGGAACTTCAACAATCCACTTATGTCAGTGAACAAATCATCCAAATAGAAAGTCAACAAGGAAACAGCAGCCTTAAGTGAAACATTAGACCAGATGGACTTTATAGATTTGTATAGAACATTCCATCCACATGCAGCAGAATACACATTTTTCTCAAGCGCATATAGAATATTTTCAAGGATAGATCATACATTAGACATAAAACAAGTTTCAGTAAGTTTAAAATGATTGAAATCATATCAAGCATCGTTTCTGAACACAATGATAGGAAACTAGAAATCAACCACAAGAAAAAAGCTGGAAAAATCAGAAATATGTGGAGACTAAACAACATGCTGCTGAACAACTATTGGATCTATGAAGAAATCAAAGGAGAAATAAAAAAAATACTTAGAGACAAATGAATATAAAAATATGATATAACAAAATGTATAGGATGTAGCCAAAACTGTACAAAGAAAGTTTATAGCACTACAGGCCTACCTCAAGAAATAAAGAGACTAAAAAGAAGAGGAAATAAAACCCAAAGTCAGTAGAATGAAATAAATTTTAAAAGAAAATTTAAATAGAGACTAAAAAGAAAATAGAAAAAAGTCAATAAAACTAAGAGTTGGTTCTTTGAAAAGATAAACAAAACTGACCGATACTTAGCTAGTCTCACTAAGACAAAAAAGGAAGCTCAGATAAAGTCAGAAATGAAAGAGGAGAAATTACAACAGACACCACATAAATACACACGATTATAAGAGAATACTATGAACAGCTATATATGCAAACAAATTGAAGATGTGGATAAATTTTTAGAATTATACAATCTTCCAAGACTGAATCATGAAGAAATAGAAAATCAGAATAGACTGATTATTACTAAGGAGATTGAAACTATAATCAAAAAGCTCCCCACAAAAAGAGTCCAGGACCAGATGACTTCATAGGTGAACTCTATCAAACTTTCAAAGAAGGTTTAATGCTCATTCTTCTCAATCGCTTCCAAAAATTTGAAGAGCAGTGAACACTTCCTAACTCATTGTATAAGGCCAATATTACCCTGATGCCAAAACCAGAAAAGACACCACAAAAAAGAAAATTATGGGCCAATATTTCTAATGAACATAGATACAGAAATTCTCAACAAGATATTAGCAAACTGAATACAATACATAAAACAGACCATACACCATTGTCAGGTAGGATTTATTCCAGGAATGCAAAAATGATTTAACATCTGCAAATCAATCAATGTTATATACCACATTAACAAGATAAAGGATAAAAATCTTAAAGTCACATCAAAAGATTCAATCCCGCTTGTGATAAAAACTCAATAAAATGTTTATAGAGGGAACGTACATCAACGTAATAAAGGTCGTTTATGACAAATCCACAGCTAATATACTCAGTAGTGAAAAACTGAAAGCTGTTCCTCTGAGATCAAGAATAAGACAAGGATGCCCACTCTCACCACCATTAATTCAACATAGTATTGTAAGTCCGAGCCAGAACAAATGGGCAAGTAAAAGAAAGAAAAGGCATTCAAATTGGAAAGGAAGAACTAAAACTGAATAATATGATTTTATATGTAGAAAACCCTGAAGACGCCACTAAAAACTCTTAGAAATAATAAATGAATGCAGTTGTTTCAGGGTACAAGCTTAACACACAAAAACCTATTGCGTTTCTATGTGCTAACAGTAAGCTAGCAGAAAATTAAGAAAACAATCCCATTTATAATCGCAACAAAATAAATAGATTACCTAGAAATAAATGTACAGGAGGTGGGGAAAGACCTGTACACTGAAAAGTGTAAGGTACTGTTAAAAGAATTGAAGAAGACACAAATTAATGGAAAGATATCCATGCTCATGGATTGTAAGAATTAACGTTTTTATTTAAATGTCCATATTACCTAAAGCAATCTACAGATTCAATGAAATCCCTATGAAGGGAAAAAAAAGCGAAACGCTAACAGTGCTGAGAGCTGCCTGCCATTAGTGACCTGAGCTGCGTCTCAGAGTTCCTGCTTTACTCAGCCATTTCTTGGCATAGACCAGAGTCCTCAGATCACTCTTTCTTTTTTCTATCTTTCTCACCCATAATCTCAACTACAGTTGCCTTTGAAAAGTATTCATCTGTTTCTCAAATGTTGTTCCCACAGAAAAAAAAAAAAGTCTTTAGACCCTGAATACTATTGTGTGTCTCAGCCACCAAAAAGAACATTTATGGAGAGTAACT